CGTTAAGGGATTTTTACGGTCGAAAGTCACATTGTAATCGTCTCGCAAATATACGCTTTACAATCTCGAGCATCAAAAACATCAAAATGTCAAAGATGATGATGTGACACGCGTCGATTGCTAGAGCGACAATTTTCCAAAAATTTATCATGGGAGAATTTTGATTTATATTAGTGAGATTAATTGACTTTTAAAAGATATGGATATCGTTACGTTTATACCATTGTTACGTTTCCTCCGAGACAGACTTTAGGAAATGTTCCATGCATAAGCAAATATGTCCGAGAACTAAGGGGGCGAGAAATGGCATTATGAAGGTCGACAAAGTAGCCGCGTAACGGCCGTTTATTAAATCCGCGTCTTAGCAGCGACATTTAAAGCGGTTGAATCGGCGCGCGGCGAAGAGGGGGTGGACGTTGCATTATGTATACGATGCTGGGTCTGAGGAAATCACGGGGGCGACGGGGGAGAACGGGGGAGCCGAATGAATACGATATTGTTACTATCCGAGCGACCGTCGTAAGTTTCGCCTCGTTCTTCCGTCACTCTTCGCATACTAAGCCCGCGCTTCAACGCCGCTACAAATAGCAGTTTGACTCGACTATGGAATAAATTAGCCAGGGAATTCGAGCTTCCTCGCGAGGACGACGGGGGGGGGGGGAGGAGCGCGCGGAACGATGGAAAAAAGGGTCCTCGAGAGGGTAAGACGAGGTAAGACACGGATATCAAGTACGCTCGGATATCAAGAAACAGGGGTACTTTGCCCCTTAGGCGGTCCTTAATAATAAATTCATATCTCGGCGTCCCTCGTCTGTCTCCCCTATTCTTTACTGCCGCCAGACGAGCCCCGCGACCGGAATCGTCCTCGCTTCGCGCAGGACGACCACCTCCGGGGAAAAGGAGCGTCCCGCCCGGTGTCTCCTTCAGTCGGTCTACAAATCTCTTTTTTATGTCGCTTAATAAAACTCGCCCGACATATCTCTAACTACGGCCACTTAATTTCGACTCGACCCGACTCGACCCGACCTTTTTCGCTTTTCCAGAAACGCGACGAATTCTCGACTACTATTCTCCCCCGTCGACGTTGTTGCCGACTGTACCATACCAAGGAGGTTTGTTTGCTTCTCTCCTCTGGACCGTCCTGCTCGATACCTTTGGCTGGACTTTCCCAAGTTATTTCTCCGCTTCCCCTTTGGAGGAGCTCGGAGAAATTCGAATTCCTTTCTGGTCTAGCTTCTTCTTCGCGTTCTCATCCTCTCACTTATAGACGGAACAATGGAATGGTCACAGTCGTTTCCGAATCGACGACTTTAAATGAACGAAAAAGTGCGCGCGTTCCCCTTCTTAATTGTTTATCATTTCCCTCCATCCATAAGATGGGAATATTAATTTTCGTCAGTTTAAAAAATTTTATATTTTTTATTATTAAAGATATTTACTTTTTTCAATTTTGTTATTATATATTTACAAAAGTATTGCGCGATTTATTAACATGAACATCACGATAAGTGAAAAACGCGTCGCCAGGATTATAGATACAAGTCAATTTCTAAGCTAAGTCAATTTCTGCTGCTAAGCGTCTGCAATAATTAGCAATTATGCGTCTCGGAGTGGAATATATAATCATGCTTGTACACAACTCCGCAACGCATTTGATTATGGGGCATGACTCTTAGCGCGCGGTTAATCCTGCATCCCTTTTGGGGATACCAATAATTCAGCATTAGCGCCACGCCACGCCGATAGTCCGACGAATATAGGATTTCGTCGTGGAAATGCTTTTCTCAATAATCTATCATGATGTATTGCGATGGCTTTTAATTTTCTCGCGATGATCAAGAAATGATTATTATTTGCTTTAGAGAAAAACTTTTGAAAAATTTTGTCACGGTACGAATCATATATCGATATATTTAAAAAAATTGAACTATTAATATCCATCAACGCATAAGATTGAATTTTATATTCTTTTTTTTAAAAACTAATAATAATAATAAATCTAATTTATTAATTATTTATTAATATTAATGAATTATAAAGTTTAAATATTTTAATATTAATACTAATTAATTATATTCTTTTTTTAAATTTTCTTTTATTAATTAATTGTAATTTTAAAATTCATATATCATATTATAATTATAAAATTTTTCTATTATACTTATAAAAACAAATTTTATATAAAAGCTAATAATAATAATTAACTAGTATAATTTTTTTTTAAAAGCTAATAATAAAAATTAAATATAATTTTAATAAATTACATTCATACAGCTACTCCATCGATGTCTCTTGGTCCTCCTGAGCTCTCTCTTTCTCTCTCTTCATCCTTGTTTACTCCTTCATGGCACTCATACTCACTCACGAAAACACGGTTAATTACGATCGCGCGCGCACTAATCAGCAGAACACGACGGCTGTGAGGCACTTTGCACAGCTCTCGTGAATCGTTAATCGTACACGACGCAAACCTCATTATATCGTGATAGGGGAACAATGTGGAAATTATGATCGTACAAAAGGGAAATTTCTCAACGAAATCGCGCGACAAAAATCACGTGTCACTTGTGGTTACGAAATATTTGACAAATAATATACATTTCAATTTTAGATCGATGCTACAACTGATTGCCGATAATCATCACGTATAATCGTATCTTTCGATACTTTTCCCGAAAATTTATCTAACGACACGATGGAGCGGCTCGTGTATCTCGTTCGAATTACGCCGCACGAGTGACAGCAAGGCATGTAAACAATAGCGCGTCATATGCCGCAAGGACACAGGCGTTGAATACCGTATCACAACTAATTTGTGTTATCACGAAATATTTAACATTAAATATTTAACGCTATAAAATAAAAGCATGTAGATTATTTTTTAATTTAAAATCGATTATTAATACACAGTAGTGAAAGATGTATCATGTTTTTCGTTAATAATAGCTTGTTACATAAATGAAAAATTCAACGTTTTTTTTTTACGCGTGATTATTTCTTTGTCATTTTTCATTAAATTTTGTGTATCATAATTTTGTGTATTTTCATTTTATTTTGTGTATACGTCTCGAAATACGATCGCGACAAGTATTGAAAGATATCCAATAAGATGGGACATTTTCTGGGATTTTTTAGCGCAGTTAATTAAACCTCGTATATATTGTGATATATAAAATGTCGCGTATATATTATTACGATTGATAAGAATACTGAAATGATAGTTATTCTCACGATACATACTTACACGCGAAAAGAATCGAAGCGATAGGAAAAATAGAAGTTCCAAATTATTATTTTATTACGGAAATATTTTCTTAAATGAATGATGGTATTTCTTTAAATATGTTAGTATATTTGATCTCATACTTTGAATTTTTTTGTCGATTTAAATATATTTTGCTCGTCTTCTCATTGAAAATACAAAATAAGATTGAAAGATTCAAATAATAATAATAATATATTACAATACATTATTTATTAATAGTTAATTTGAAAACTTCAAGAAGCAAAAGTTATTTCGCATTTGATTTGTGCTACGTTAAATATTTCGCAGAGAAACTGTCAACATTTATCGCTAGTTTCTCGCAGTGTACATAGTGTTTATACGCGGTCACCGTATAACACCTTGTTGTCATTCGCGAGGAGAGAGTCGAGCAGACAGGTAGTGAGTCGAGACGCTTCGTGCGTTGTTATGATTCACAAGACGCAATCGTGAAGAGTTTCGGGCCAAAAAGAGACATCGAATCCGATTATTCGATTGTTATAATTTGCGGTAATCAACTCGGGAGTGTTATGCAAAGTGCCGTATTGCTGATTAGTGTGCGTGTGGTCGCAATTAATCGAATAATTTCGCGAGTGAGTGTTGTGATGGATGAAGAGAGGAGGACGAGAAGGAAAAAGTCGATGGAGCAATCCTGGGGTGAGTAATTTATAACTTTTATGTATTTATTTTATTATCTCTTGTGAAACTATTTGTTTATCGCTGTGATAATGGACTCTAAATTATTGAGCGTAACATAATACATATATTAAATTTCCCTTTGAAATATTTTTAAAATATTTGTAATAAATCGATATTTTATATCGATATTTATACATTAAATTATATATGTTTTTATAAAAATTAATAGAATTAGTAATAAAACAAAAATATAATTTGTCGAATCAATTGTTTACAATTTACATTGTCGCATTTATCGGACAATCGTTTTCGTTGTTTTTTAAACGAACCGGATTTACCTTTCGCAATCTCTTTTTCCTTATTGATAGTCTTTTATGCTAAATCGCTTCATTTGAATGTTGCTAATGCGAAAAACCGATCCGTACTAATGGAGTGATCTCTTCCCCACATTCATTTTCGTAAGCGCCATTGATTCTATTTGCTTTCTACATATCACGATTTTCACTCCTTTTTTCTCATGTTACATACGTCTATATTTTACGTTCATATTTCCAGAGTGTCTTATCACAGCTTGAAATTCCTTATCGTACCAAATTTATTAAAAATATGCATCGCATTAAAAAGGAACAAATGATATATCGTAGGAAGATAATAGCGTAAAATAGCGATGCTGGAGCTATCTTACATTTAATCAGCCGCATTAAACCGTAGTCAATTAATAAGCGATTTAATTCGAGAGAAGTGCGAGCACGAATCGCGATCTATTGGCAAATATTAGGAGGCAATTAACGTGGGTATATTTGTCTAGGAGGAAGAGATCGTGTAACGGGCGCGCGAAATTAACCGTGTCAAACTGTGCCGCCCAAATGCGTCGCCCGAAGAAACAAACCGCGGGGTGTATCCGTCAACGGATGTGCCGTAGAAATTACGTAGTTCGTTGAGAACCGTCTTCGTCGTACTTTGTAAACAAGCGGGGAATGACAGCTACGCGACATAAACGCGCCAAACAGCTCGCGACGAACCGTCATTACCTTAGTAAACGGTATACCGCGGGGATGGTATGGCTCGGGGCAACACGGAAGCAAAACGAGACACTTACTGTACAGACGAATCGTTCCGTCAGTTTCTCCACGTGGGTTCTTGGCGATGCACTTGTAGCTACCGTAGTCGTCTTTCTAAAAGTAAACCGAATGAACAAGTTACTAAAAGGCGAGAAGATTTTAACGAAGTAATTATATATAATATAAGATATCTCTTTTTCTCTCTCTCTCTCTCTCTCATTAATTATAAACTTGGCTCGTATTTGCCATCTAACCAATTTATATGTTTAATTTTAACATTTTCGAGTCTGACGTTTCTGATAATTAATTATAAAACTTTAAAATTCGGAGAGAGACTTTTATTTTTCTTATAATTATCAATTTACTCCAATCAGAAAATTCGATTTTATAATTAATGAAATATAATCGGTATATCTTTTTTTACATGTCAGTTAATGGCCATTATGTTGCGTTAATATTATCATTGCCGTGTAACATGAAAATTTTTTCCTTTTTTATTTTATATATATATATATATATACAGCTTAAAGTACTTTATTACTCTCATCTATCGCGTTCATCGTCAGCGCGTCACAATCGTGATTTACGATATGGTGCCATTATCCAGTCGTGAATTTTAACGCGATGTACATGATTAAGCCACGCACTTTTTTATAGCGATTACGTCGTGTTCTGCTATTATCGTCGTGCGATTTTAATTTATTAAACATGCTAGAAAATTTACAACACTCAATTTTCCGCGCAATATAAAGCAAAAAGCCCTATATTTTATCAGTGTACCATTAATAATAGCGTTTTATTCGACACTCGAGCAAAAAAGATTTGTTTCTTTGCGCGAGTTATTTCTATGATAAATACCTGAATTATAGAAAAATTTGAATAATTTAAAATTAATAAGGAATTTGGCTCAAATAAATAAAAAAATTAAATTAAAATTGGCATGAGAGTCGCGATAGTTGGGGAAGAAATAACGCTTCCTTCTTGTTGATTGTTGTTTATTTCAAATCTAAATACTGCATAAATAACGCTACAACGTTATTTATGTTTTTGTTGAATAATTTAGATTAGACAGAAACAAACCGACAAAATTGCATCGCGATGCATTCACTTACCTGTATATTGGATATCATGAGCGTCATGTGCGTCTTGTAGGATGGAGTGTCGGGCGACGACGTAGCCTTATATTTACTGCTCTCGTGAATCATTAGACCGTCCTCCCTCGCCCAGTAATTCAAAGAAGTCGGATGAGCCTCGGTATAGCATTCCAGCGTAACAGCGTAGCCCAAGGGCGCGCCGACCAATTGATGCGGTATCCATAGCATAGGGGGGACTGCAACGGCAGAAGTGATTGATTGGCTCATAAATGTTCCAATTACTAACAATACACGATGGGTGTATGCGATCGATATCCCTTTCGCGCGTCTATAAATCTCTGCGACTAACCGGTGGTGAAGAATGACTCGAGACGATCGCAGGCTTTTGCGAGAGCTCTCGCTTTCGGGATGTAATTGATTATTTCAGAGCGCGACTTCTAAGTCAGAATTTTGACTTAAAATTGATTACAAGGGAATATATTTCCGACAGAAAAAGAGACAATTCAATCAGAATTTCGATGACGTTATTAGTTAAATGTTTTGTATTAAAAAATGCAGGATAAGAGTTGCAGAAGGGCCAATAAAGAAGATCAATAAAATCTCAGTTACCGCTTTGCTAATGATCTGTTCAATCATAAAAAAGCCAGAACGCAAATCTTACGTAAATATTTATGTTGGAACGTTTGTTGTCTTTGTGGTCCTTCAATCATTACAGAAACAAAATGAATGAAAGATTATAACAGAAGCAATTATATAATATATCGACGTAAAAATTTGCATACAAACATTTGCGATCTGACTCTTATTAATTCCATTCTTATTATCGAAATTTCAAAGACTCTCTCAATTTTATATATTCATTAATAAAGAAACATCAATTATTAAATTAAAGATATCATGCATTATACGTGCACATGTAAGCTATTACATATGGAAAATATTTTAATAATTCGCATCAAGATTTATTAAAAATTAATACACTCCAAATTCAAATATCAATTCAAATATAATTAAGAAGATAAAAATAAAGGTCATGAATTGGACGAGAAAAGAGACATTATAAAGAGAGAAAAAGAAAGCTGGTGTAATTCTTTTGAAATTTTATATAATCGTTACATGCGGAAAAGACTGGGCTTAATTTTTGCTATACGTCGTGAAACCTAAATGCGTATCACGCGGTCCTTTAATAAAAAAGTAATCCCATTTCGATGAACAGCTCCTAGCGTTGTTGTCGGCGCTCGTGATAACATTTCCTCGAGGTAAGAGCGCTTCAATTTAACTTAAACCTCCTAAGAATATACCTAACCCATCTTCCCTTAGATTGTTGCAATGTTCGTGAGAAAGTATCACGTAGAACAAGCCGATTACAAGTGGCAAACAATAAATATGCATAGTCTGTATTTTTGGTTATTTTTTTAAATTAAAATTAATATACTTTAATTAAGAGAGAATTCGATAAATAAAAGATATCGATTTGAAATTAAACCGCGCGTGAAAAATTTGAGATGATACGGTGATGAAAAGGCACTCCAAATTAATGTAAATTCGATTAAAATATATAATATAAATATCATGTCGATCTTTTTGTTGAAATGAGATTTCGGCAGAAAAGAGATAATTCCATAAATTCCACAGAGAGAATTAAATTGTTCTCGTATCTCTGTACCATCGCCAAAAATAAAGTTCCATTTTGTAGAAGATTCTTGCGCACGATAGGTACATAAATTTTACAGCTAAACTACTTTCAAAGTTACATGGTTTCATTATCAGTAAGCTAAAAAAAATCCTCATTTATTTTTTCCTTATATATATATAAGGAATATATATATGTACATCTGTCTTTCGATTTACGAGGTTCTTTTTGGCATGGTTGCAAATCTCTCGGCTAACTTTGCGGAATAAATCGATAAAATAATTTTTTTTTCTAAACTTAACAAATTTTGTGTATGGAGACTTGTGTTGTGGAGAATCCATAATTTTTCGCGGAAATTGATGATTTAATATGTACATTCTTTTAAATATTCAATGAAATGAAACTGTTGAAAACTGCTTTTAAAAAAATGTACCTTAGAGAGAAGAAGAGAGATATCGTTTTTTTAAGAAGGTTTCTTCAGAAGAGAGAAAAACAGGGTTTGTCGGTTCTTGGATACCGGAACGATCGAGTTTGCTCTCGTTTCATCTGGGATCTCCTTTAAGCAAGAGTCTCGGTAAACGGCGACTCGATTAAATGCGATTGTTCTTCGAGTCTTCTAGAAAATGACCACACAGGAGCCCGACCAATCCGTTTTTCCGTGACTGTTTTTAGACTGCTTTATTCATTCACGGAGAATCATCCGATTTTTCATCGCCATTTGTTAATCTTGTATTTTTGCGCAATATTATACTTTCCTGTCCTTTTTATTACTTTTATTACTACAGAGTATCTTATCTCGCAATCTTAATTTTCTCTGAAAAATCAATTTTTTTAATGGATACGTGAAAAAAAAGATCATCATTGATCATAACTTTTCAATTTAATTATCCAATATAAATTTTTACAAAAATTTATGATTAATTTTATAAATATATATTTATTTAATTATCATTTTATCTACGATCATTTCTCTGATTATTTTTAAGATTCATATGTGAAAAATAGTAAGCATCTGTTATTATTATAATTTCTGCAAAAGAAATTTATATTGGATATTCAAATCGTAATGCTTTTATTTGTGAACGCAACATCTAGAAATATTGTGTGGCTGTAATTCGCGTATTTAACTTAAATATCGTTAAACATCGGATGCTATTGTCAAACACGCTTGCATTCTCCGGTCGTTCACTGTAATGCGACCCTACTTCGGTCGTCGCCGGTTGGGAGAGGGTATTCTTTTTGGCACGTAATACAGGACCGTGAATTACTACGGATTTCAAGGGAGGGTTCGCTCTTGTGTCTTTCTCTCTTGTGTCTTCCCCTCCGCTCTCCTTCTCTTCTTTTTCACCCTCACTCCTGGACGGAGCAGAGTCGACGAGGGCGGCCTGTCTTCGGATAACGCAAAGGATATCCGACACCTTCTTAAAATGCAAAACATTCCGTCTGAGGGTGAGAGAAGGGAAAGGGACCTATCTAGGTTGTCTGTAATGCTTGGGATCCTTATTGCGCAGACAAGCACAGGCTTTGCTATACGAAAGCTTCCGAAAGCGTCGAGCATTGAACGCGCCCTTCATTCCTTTTTTTTTCTTCTTTTTCAAATTGTCTTTCGCGCGTGCGAACATTAAATTCGATCGATACAAGTCGAGTACTTTTAGCGTAAAACACTCGTTCGCATCATCAATATGCTTTCTCGAATAATTAATCGATATTACACGACAATGATGATGACATCTATGTGATTTGTAATATTATCATATACTATCTTTTATGTTTGTATTTTTCAAACAGAGTCTAGAATTTATTTTTCTGTAACAAGAATGCAAAGTATAAACTAACAGAGAGATCTAAAGACTTTCATTTTTCATTTACTTAGAAAGAAAGAGAGAGAGGGGTTTATTTTAAACAGAATTTTAATTAGCGAGATAGATGCCAAAGTAAACGCGTAGTTCTACGTTAAAGTTATTTTATTATGCGTACTAAAGAGCAATAATATTATACCAAACACGCCATGAAAAAGAATTTTAAAAAATCATAATTTTTACAAAATTTCGTTTCATCAACCCGCACTATGCGTATGTGTATTTTCATCGAAAAATTGTTAGGTACAATAAATGTTTTACAACGAACAAAGTGATCCGCCGTGAACGGTGAAGAGTTTAAACATTAGCACGGGCCACTGCGAAATGTAAACGACGTCGAGTTAGATTGCGGAGAACAATGTGTGGAACGAGCCGCAAGGTAGATGAAAGCTAATTCAGGTGGAAGTTAAACAGAGTTAAAGGTACGTCCTTTACGTAGGATAGGATGGGATGGAGCTAGGTCGAGATGGGTTAGGTTACGAGAGTTCGGCCTTACATTCATCACGGAGGCCTTGAAGCCTCCCTCGGATCACGGTATACCCTTTAATAAAGAATGCCTGGACATGTTCCGCCTTGTTCAGACGGTATGCATGAAATTTTGCCTCGATGTTTCCAGTCGAACCGCCATGTGCTGCTTTCCCGTCAAATTATCCGCACGTGTATGAGATAGAGAAAGGAAAACGAAGATATACAGACGCGAGGGTTAAAATATTATGAAAACTATAATTCGCAAGAATGAATACGCAGTAAAAAATTTTGTGTTAAATTTAACATATTTCACATGTCCCAATTTATCCACTCTAATTTTAATGTTAATTTAACAGAAGGCAAATATGTAAATAAATAACACAAATAATATGTTTAAAAATTAACGTTAAAGTGTAACACGTTAAAATGTAACACTTTATCTGGAAATAAAGTTTAAGTTGAATTAACATATTTATAATGTTAAATTTAAATAAAAGAAAATGTTATTCTTACATTTTTATGATAAATAACAGAAGAGATATGTCGATCTAACATATGGAAACTGTTATAGAGAGAAAAATAATACAACTTATCTGTTTATTTTAACATATAACATATTTCATCAAAAATTCGTGCATTTACATATTAATTGTGTTGTTTTAACTTTTAGAAACGGTGAATATTATAACTCAACGCAGAAATGTCAAAATAACGCAACGATAATATGTTACATTAACATAAGATTATGTTAAAAATTTAACACAAAAATTTTTACACGAAAACATTTTAACAGAAATACAAAATGTTTTTTACTGTGTAGGAAATTTATAAAGAGAAATGAATATATTGTACTCTTTAAAAGTACTTTTATTTTATTTTTTTTGCTTTGTTATGTAATTTGCTTCATGAATGCAATCATTTTGACATTTAAAAGCTTAAAGGGAGAAAGAAAGAAAAAAAAGGAATTTAGTTTTTATCGGCGATTTTATTGAAAATTCAAAGCATCGTACGACAAAAATCTATTCTAAATTTTTCACGTGAAAAAGTCTGGTTTTTCGAATCAGTGCCTTCGTACTAAAGAGCAATTATCCATTCGAAAAAAATATTACCGACTCCAAATTTGATACGCAATTAAAGGCGATTAAAATAATAAAACGCGTCATCGCGTCTTCCTTCGCTGGCCAAGTCAGCTTTTCAAGTTCCGACTCTTTTTCTCACGTCAGCATTTTAAGGAATTTCAAGCTCTTCCGAGGTATCGCTAAAGACTCGAGAAGTA